CCTTTTTGTCAAATTGATTTCTGACCATTTATCTTCCCTGTCGTCTCTGTTGGTAATGCTTGAGGGAGTATTACTTCTCATTCAAAGGTGCTTTTGAGACAATAGGAGATTTCTGTTTGAGTTTTTGTATTGTCATTTGTGAATCTGGAGATGTGGTCAGAGTGATCTTTGTTTTAATATGATATATTTTATAATGAGGGACAGGATAGATATTGAGCTTATTAGGTTACTCTGGGAATTGATGTTGTTTCAATAAAAAAAGGATATTTTTAGATAATGAATAGGATTGATTTATTGTTTTATTATTATTTTATACATTATGTTTGTGTATGTGCATGCATGCGTGTGTATATGTACATAAATACATATACCAGTTATACTAAATAAGATACATAGTTATTATGATTTTGCACCTTATTTTGGTTGCACTTTTACACTATTTGTCCTGGCTTGTTAATGACTATGGCTGTGGACAGAGTAAGCACTCACACAACTTTCACAACTAGTTTTCCATGTGACACAGAATTTTTATACATTAACCAGATTATCGAGAACCTAGAGCTGCTTCAGTCCCTTCTGTCGTCTCACCTGAGCCGACAGCGTGAAGTGAACGAGCTTCTGAGTCAGGAACCGCTTCTGGTTGGAGAAGGACAGGTATGGCAATGGGCAGCTATGGAAATATTTTAAGAGAACTGTTCAGATTTTGGAAAATTTATGTGGACTTACTGGATTGGATTGATATAGATTGCTCGGGGAATAATCTTCTGGTGGAATATTCCATGTCACTAACCCATTCATGACCAAGTGACGTCCTTTCACATCTTGATACATTGTCCCTCGTGACAAGTTGACATCTTCATCTCAAGTACATATGTTCTAACTTGTGTGTACTAAAGTTGTCTGCATTTGTTTGGCTCTTGCTGAGGAAATATACTCCCTTCAAAAGTAGGCTTAAAACCTCTTTTTTTGTCTCATTACCTTAACAATTATATGTGCCAGAGCCAGGAGCATAGAGAGTGGGGTAATTTTAAGTTTCCTGCTCTTCTGATTTTTCTCTCAAGCAGCTGAGTCTGTGCACACCCTGATTTAATATGTTCTGGGGGCTCTTGTCATGAATGGATTAGTGCTATGATGACTTGGTTAGCAGAGACATATAATCTTTATTTAAAGTTGTCAGATTTAAAGCAAATAATGGGAGCAAGTCTCTCTTAAACCTTTCTTCCCTAGCCATCAAGTGACAGTAGCCCAAGTGTCTCATCTAGACGAAGGGGCAGAAGCACAAGAGAAGCGCCAGATGGAGAAGAAGCGTCGAGGGGTTCCTCTAAACGCTCTCAGAGCCTGGTTCGGCAGGGGACCTTCAACGTGAGCGAGCAGGAGACCACAGTGGCTACCATCCACGCTACGTTAGATGCGCATCTCACCAGGGTAAATAAGGTGCATCAATTTAGCACGAAGCAGTAGTGCACTGCTCATGCCCTTTGGCCTCTTCCTACATCCTCTGTGATGCTTGGATTGTAGCTGCTGTAGGTAGATGGAAGTACCACCCCACAGGTTCAGTGTATCTCGTTGCTCAAATCCTGAGGTGCACCCCATGTCTGAATGTTTGTATTGAAGAAGAAAGGAAATGAAGGAAGGGCATGAATGTTACTCTGTATTTGCCACTCTGCACTGATTGTGCTTTTTGACATTGGGCAGGAAAGAAAAGTCCAAGTAGGAATGTGGCATTTGTCAGTGACATGTACTTGTGCATGCCTTAAATCCTCCTGTAGTTAACAGGATGCAATTAGTTGTGGAAAGTTGATGTGTGTTGGATGATGAGAGACTTCTTGTATAGTCAGAGGCTTCCATAGTAAGTTGGTTGTTTTTTTCTAAATCCAAGTCTTAACTAGTGCTTGTTGATACATGCTTAAGTTTAAACTAAGGATTTAAATGTTCAATGTATTTAGTTACATTAGGAAATAAGCAAATATTTGTATTCTAAAACAAACTGAAAGCATGGAATGTTGTTAGCTGCATCACTTCAACTTATATTGTGGCTGAGTGTATTGTAAGCTGTGCTTTGTGTTGTATTAAAAGTGCTCATTGCATATTTATGATGCTATGTTTATGATTTAGTTAAAGATCATAAAAGTATTATGTATTGTTATCATAAGTTTATTATATTGTGCATAGTTATGGACTTTTTTTTTTAAGTTGAGTAATCATGACAAAAAAAATGTGTCATATACAAAGGAATATCTAATGATTTTGGATACAAATATAGCTAAAGTGCCAGTGGTTTGAAATAATTTTTTATGGAACATCTCAGATGGAAGAGAATCAGAATATACATCTCCTTTTTATGTCTGTTTTGCAGTAAGCTGTAAGCTGGATGACCAGACAGATCATCTAAATGTTGAAGTGGTAGATAGGTGCTCTTATTTGGAAATGTGACGCACAAAAAAATCCAGGTGCTGTGACTTTGTTGCTGCCTTCTCTTCTGAAACAAATAGTAGATTAGCATAACGTCAGAGGTGTGGTTTCTACAATTAGCGGGCTGAGTGTGTACATCTGTAGAAGCTGGTACACATTTTGCCCATCAAATGGCATGTCATTTTTGTAAATGGTTCAAATGTTTACAACTGTTGATGATGATAGATCATATATCTAGGATGATGAAGTGACTAAGATAAAGAAAACATTCTATGTATATGGTCGATACATACTTCATAAAAAGCCATATGTATTCCTGCTCTTTCTGCAACTAACATGTTTATGGATACCTGCCATTAGTATGTAAGTGTTCATTCTGCTGGCCTTTTATATCATTCGATTGTTCTTTAAAATGATTGTTGCTGGAAGGATGTGTTTGAGCCCTCTGCTGTTGTTATTATCCCCCTTTGGAACAAGGCAGATGTACGTTGAGGACTCTGACTTTGTGTAGTCTGGTAGCATCTTTTGATTGTAGTAACGAAACAAGAGTTCTGGCTTCTGCCTCAAGGAAAAAAATGAGTAAACATTAAAAGAACAATGTGCTGGGGGACTTGTTTACAGAAAGCATTACAGTCTGCTTAACTATGTGACAGAGAAGAGTACAACTTGTAGAGATAACTTACTGCCTCACTGGCTGGCTTGAAGATCATCAAGTTTACACAATGGTTAAGTGAGGAATCTGTTTCAGAATATAGACTCTTTACCTGGTTAGATCTTGGAACTTCAGGTTATGAAAGGGCTTGAGAAAGTATATACGTACATACATATATAGATTTCAGGTAATTGATCTTCAGCTTGCCTAAGTACACCTTACTGTTACCTCAAAATTAATGTAGTGGATTATAGAGTGATTTTTAGACAGTCTGTATCACGATATTCTTTAGAATATACAAGTTTTTTAATGTGCTATGATGTTAAACACAATATACAAATACTGTAATTATGTATGAATAATTGTAATACACTATTATATGGGAATCCATTATAATCGTCAGTGTTGAAAAAGTTCACCAAATTTTTCTGAAGGTTGTAGTTAGGAAACAGTAGGCTGTAATAGGAAGGGAAAGGTAAGTAGAATTTCAAGAGCAGTCACAATAATCTTTCTTCACAAAAATAAGTTTCATGTGTAGAAAAAGATGAGGAAAAGATATTAACATTCTTCTATTAAAAAGAATATGAGTAAATGGACAGTGATGTATCTGCTAACTGATCCATCTGTCTTTTTGTGCTTGATACATTGCAGAAAAAAACATCAGTGGCTCATTTTTTGGGCTGTAGGTCGGAGTTTAGGTACTCCAGTCTTGTGTTTGTGACTGTTTCATCATCCTTTTTGATTGTTGGGTCTTTGAAAGAAACAATATTTTTCTACAATTTTGTATAAAGCTCATTACCTTCTAGGATATACCCTGTATAAAACAGCTGGTCCATTTACTCGGTGTCTAGTAATGAGAATAGAAAAATATTTAGTTCGGATGGATCAACGTAGCAAGATCGTTCATTTGCTGTGTTGCATTCGGCTCAAGTGCCAGAGTCAGTATAGTAACAGATTTCTCTCTGGTTTCACTTTCAGCACAAAGAAAAAGAAAAAAAAAAGCATGTTATGATTGTGTTGGTTTTTGAAAGGTAGCTTGTCAAATGGAAGGGATTGAGAATTTCCATTATTCTGCAGGTTGTGTCATTTACCTTGTTGTGATGTACACTCCGAAAGGGAAGTGTGTCTTATTGCAGTATAGCTCAAGTAGCACAGACACTTTAAGGAAGGGAAGTGATTGCTATAGTTACTGCTGCTTTTGCTTCCGCAGCTGTTAACTCTTGTTATTCGATTGCAGCTGCGTTGGTGACGAAACTTTACATGTCACGGCCATTGTCATTATTTTTATATATTTATATGCTTGTTTCTTATTATTTTTTACTCTCATGACAGTATTATGTTTGATGTTTTATCGTTTTTGGTGTTGATGATAGGTTTTATCATGCTTATCATTTTATTCATGTAACATTGTTGTTATTATCACCTTTACTATCATTGTAAGTATAATCTGATTAACAAATATCATTATCATCTCTGATTTTATGTTATTTAAATTTAACAAAATGAGGAAAATTTTGTGAGTTGTATATTATTCTGTTATGATTTTTTTTTACTTATTAGCCACATTTTAGCATGTTTAAAAGTTGCAGCAATACTTTCAGTTGGCGGTTTGTTTTCCTTTTGTTCATACGATGTTTCATCAGATTGTGATAAAATCTAATACTCAAAAGATACAGTAGGAATTATAAGATGAATAGATTTATCATGTATAAAGATCAAGGAATTCATGTTGTTGTGCAGTCTGGAATCACACCAAAAAGCTCACCTTGATTTGTCTGATAAGTGATATGAACCTTTATTGTCTACTTACATAGAGAGAGGTGAAACGAGAAATTCACATGCTCGCAGCTTTCAAGGCTTGAAGGTACCTCAAGAGTGCTCAAAGTTTGTACTATTAAAATTGAATGTTTGTATAATCATTTGTGTTCAGTGTTTACCCCTTCCTCCCCCCCTTCCCCTGCAGTATGGACTAACCCTGTGTTGCTGTGTTTCCCTTTTAACATTCTGAAAATAGGTGGATAATGGAGATATAAAGATGGGTTTTTAAAAGTGGGTATTTTCATCCGACACGGACGACTGTTGGAATCGAACAGGTATTTATGGAGTGCGAGTCAGAAATAGAATGGACGTTATCTTCCTTGCATCACTTTTCTTTGTATTGGAGTTGTGCCGGTTTGCAGTTGTTCATTAGGATGAGTTGTATATGTTACTTTTTTGATATGTGCTATCTAATGTACAACGATTATCAGAACTGTAATTTTAGTGCTAGTCCACTAGTCATTTTTTTTCCATGGTATTAATGCAAAGGTAACTATAATCTTGTGAACAATAGCCTCTATGTGCCTAAAAATATGGTCTTTATCATTTCCTGTCAAGTTTACTTAATATGTGGTGATATTGATTGTCTTGTTTGGAAATATTAGGAATGATTTCTTGTGCTGAAATGAGTTGATTTACATTTGAAAAATTATAGGCTACGGGGAATTTAATTGTTCGTTTTTAAAGTTTGTGAAGAGCAAATGTGACCACTAGTTAAGGATTCAGTTTTCAGAGACGAAGCCTACCTGTGAAATTACTCTATATCAACCACTTAGATTTGTTTATCTTTTGTGTAAATTTTTCCGTTTAATTGCGCTCTGACATGGAGGAAAGGCGCAATAGGAAGAGTCGAGTAACTGCATGTTATTTTCCTCTGCTGACTTCGGGTCACGTATTACAAATGTCAAGTATTAAGCTGAAAGTAGAACTGTTCTTCTTTATTCAGTTTTGTTCATATTCTTATAAAAAAGGATATGGTCTTTTCTTGTGGTATTTAATGCTTCATTTTTATGTAAATTATCTTTCATGTATAAATGATTTTCCATAGAAATGAAAGGTAAATCTACTTATGTATTGGTATATTGATACAGGCCTGCTTTGTTGTCTTAGGCTAAAAGTATCCTGATGGACATAGGAAGGAAATCTCTCGAGTTGGGAAATATTCAACGCATCTTTTGTGAAGCTGAGTTTGAAATGTTTTTATTTCTGTGAATTCTTTGTCTATTGTTGTTTAGACATGTGGAGTGAGAAATCCAAGATGGGGTTGATTTTGTTTGAAGAGGAGAAATAATTTATTAATAAAAGGAAATTATATAGTAACAAAAAGAGTACTATAATGTGATGAAATAAATTGATATGGATAAACTTCTGAGCAATATTTAGTTTGTGTTAAGATTTAAACTTTGGAACACTGAGACAAAGTAATCACCAGTATTTTTGTTAATGTATAAATTGTAGTTAGATCTGAACAGAGAATCTATTACTCTTATTCTTAAATGTCTGAGTTTGGGATAGGTTTTCCCAAGTTGGATTTTTGCCTCTCTTGCCTTTGAATGAAAAGTAACAAAAGTCTCTCTATGTATTACAAGAAAATGTATGACTTACATTTCAAGTTCAAATGGAAATAATTACTTTTGCCTATACTCAATTTTTTTCCCCATATAACTTGGTGAAAAGTGTATTGTGTATTCTTGATCCCAATGCTGTTAATGACAAACTTCAATCATTTTAGTAACTACTTAAGAAATGGGAAGTAAAGATCTGTGTTATTACAATGGTAGCTGAATATATACTAATATTGCATGAGTTTATATGTGTTCACTCTTCTGTACAAGGATGAAGAAAATATTCAGTCGTGTTGTTAACGTGTGAAATTTGTGTTGTAACTTTGATCTCCAAATCAGAAGTTGTATTGTAATTGATGGTTGTTTTGTTAAGAAAATTTAAAAGACAAATTGACTTGATTAGAAAGACATGATTAGTATTTTCATAATGTTAAGTTTGGTTTGTATTTATTTATTTTGCAATTATTGGCTGAATTCTCGTGTGTAATTATAAGAAATCAGGTATTTTAGGACTAAAGTAATGGTCGTGAAACACAAAAATTCAGTAATGGTACTGAATGGTTAATGATAAGGTATGGAAAATGTATATTTTTGGAGTCGACAGCTCATCCTTTAAAAAAAAAATGAGTACACTTTATTTTCAACCTAAGTCTGTTTTTGGTTGGCATTTTGCTATTGTGTTAGTGGTTTGTGTTTTTTTTTTTTTTTTTTTTTTTATGTTTTTGCTTTTTACAAAATTTGCAGAGCTAAGCTTTTGGATTTTTGTGAGGTATTTGTAACCAAAGTGCAGAGCTTTACCCAATTGTTAATGTAAGTCTGAAAATATGAATAAAAAATTACTACTTTCATGAAAAGATTGTTATTAGTATTTAATTCCTGATGTATAGGAGCCATTTACTTCAAGACACAGTAATTACTTCTTTACGTATATAAAACATATATATATGGGTTGACTAATATATCATTCCTGCAGTCTGACTTTCCATTAAGGTGATATATTTCAAGCCATTTTTGATGAATGGTCTGTAAAACGTAATCAGTATGAAAAATACTTCTGGATCTTGAATTGTGATAGAGATGGCAACTGTAGAAAGTTGATAATGAAATAACAAGAACAGGTTTTACATATTTTATATGCATTTAGTGTAGGTCTAAGAAGCATAGTAATGCTCACAAAGAGGGAAATTATGTTTTATTTATTTTAGCTAATAAAAATAGTCCTTATAGTACTATGGAGCTTATCATCTTCATGATTATAAAAATAGTACTGTTGTTGACATGCAATGAAATCTTGGCAAATATATCCTGCTTTTATTTTGTACTCTAAAGGAGAAAATTGAATGATTATATTGCTTGCATAACTCCTTAAGTACAGTTTGTGCTGATGCCCACACATCTTCTCTCAATTTGCATACATGGATCCACATTCCATGAGGTAAACTTGCACAAAAACTCCTGAGAAATACGTAAATGTTATTGGGACATGTAAATTTGCTATTCTCTTTTGCTTTTCTGATTACCCTGTTTCTCCATTTTTACTCACTGTTGAACTTATTACCATACATTGGTAAAATATTATTGTTTCTTTTCCCAATCATATGGAAAACACTTGGAGGATATAAAGTTGTGATTTTGTTGTGCTTTTGCATAAAAGAGTACAAGTCAAAATGTAAGTAATTTTTGAATGATATTATGAATACTGCACATCAGTAGTAAAACCCACGATGTACGTTGGCACTACAGGTGGGTGAATATCAGATGAGAAAATGTAATGTAATTCTAAGAACATTATATCATGGAATGCTAATGAACATGGTAAGTTTTAGAAAATGATCCTATATCTTGTAAGTAATCGTTGCTCTGAGAAATATAATGCAGCAAATTATTTATAACTATTATCTCTAAATGAAATCTTCATGAAAAAACGAGAAACTTTTAAGTATTTCCTTTTTTAACCAACGGCACATCTTAAGCCACTGTATTATTACAATATATCTTTTATAACCCAGTGCCAAAGATATGAACACAGCTCAAAGAAGGCTTTTAACTGATTACAAATATTTTCAATAGATAAAAAGATCTTCCCACATCTAAGGCTTCAAGGGAATGAGAGTGTCTGGCAGAAAAAATATAAAGAGGCAGAATAATTTTTTCCAGCAAATATATAAGCTGTACTTTAAATCAGCCGTTATCCGCGAAACGTAAAAGCGATATCACTGTCATGTATGTTTGCCATTTGAATTACATGGTCGCTTGGTATTCGTTTTGTGGATTTCACTGCCATGTAGATTTCACTGTTGTGTGATTTTCACTGTCATTTTGGATTACATCGTCGTGGATTTCACGGTCATGTGCTCGTCGTGGGAACGAGAAGTGGTTTTCCACCTGCGGCTCTCACTAACCGCGGTTGCATTGGCACTGATGATCTCGTCTGAACCTGCAATGCAAAAGACGTCAGAGAATATGTGTGAATGTTTGTATTTCGTAAATCTTTGCAGTTACTGGGTTGTAGTGCGTTTTTAAATATACAAACAAGATCTAGTACAAACAATAGATAATAAAAATAATAAAAAAATAAATTCTGAAGACTGAGAGTTATTATGAGGTAAATCAAGTGGATAGATTGAGCAAAAGACTTAAAAAACGTAAGAATTATATTGAAACAAAATTGAATATGCAAAGCCAGCCAGTTACACACAAACTACAGACATACTTCCAAACGAAGTCGATGATAATAATGTTAATAATGATGATGATAATGATAATGATAATGATAATGATAATAATAAAAGATAATAGGGAACGCCCCCCTCATACAAACCGAAAATAGCTCATCTTGAATTAAAAACAAACGCAGAATCGAACAAATACGCAAACCTGTTGAAGATAAGTGATAATGAGACTGTGGAGTCTTTTGCGCAGTCCCCTGAGCCTTGAGTCGGTGGTTCCCCTGGCCAGGAGGTGCAGGCCCCGTCTCGCCAGCGTCCCCAGCTCTCGCGCCGTCCGGGAGGTCTCGTCGGGGTCTCCGTGGGACGGCCGGAACCGCTCCACCTGCACGGCAAGAGGGAAGAGGGACAGGTACTGGTTGGGTAAAGTTTACTCTCCAAAATTGTTGGAACGCTGAAGAGATACTCATAATAAGGATATTTATTCTGTAATGATATTAATTTTCAAAAGATGTTTACTCTTAAAAATGTGTAAGAAATATACACCCAAGCAATGATATATACTATTAAAAAGATGTATTAAACACACACACACACTATATATATATATACACACACACACATATATATATATATATATATATATATATATATATATATATATATATATATATATATATATATACATATATATGTATATATATATATATATATATATATATATATATATATATATATATATATATATAAAGGAAAAAAAAAGAAAAAAAAATACGACGTACGGTGCTGAAGACGGAGTTGAACTGCTGGCCTCTGACCTCCGCCGACGCGTCCTTCTGGAGGGCGGAGGCGAGGGAGGCCAGCGTCCTCACGGGCTCTGTCTCCGG